AAAACCTTTTTATAAATAACAAAACTTCGTAATTGTGAATGTGTTTATGCATCCTTTACTTTCTAGCGGTGATTTTCATTGCAATGCTTGGTAATATTAAAAAAAGTGATGACCTTATTTATATCTTGCATTACAGTCCACCGCTGTAGATTGTGAAAACATTTAAATAACAGTAGCAGTAAAAACTAGCTCAAGTCTACTGAAAATCACCCCAATAACTGAAAAATCTAGCGTTCTAACTGAGACCCCATCCACACTACGCCGGAGAAATTTAAAAACGTAACAATCTCCGGTCTTTGGATTTGTGTTTGAGGAAAACTCGGTCAGGTAAAATCAATTGTTTATCGTGACGTCATCGTTTTTCGAAAGGCTCCGTTTTCGTGACGGATTTGTGTGGACGGTAGGCCTAACTGGAGAAATAAAGCTGTGTTCTCAAATTTCTCCGGCGTAGCGTGGACGCTACCTGAAAGAAGTATTGCATGTTCGTAGCGCGTGATAGTTCTCTGCACTGCAGACGTGAAACCTTTGATTACTTCGGAAAATATATTATACAGTTAATCATGATTTCAAAACGAACGCTCTACGTTCGTGAATTGCTGATGCCAATGTTTTTCTTTTGGATTAAAACTCCGCACATATAGAGCGGCCGTCGCGATATGTCATCTTCAAACTCCTTCAGCCGAAATCCGGATATTGTCATATGGGCTTGTATTTGCATGGAAATCCCGCTATACATGTTGAACCTCAAAATCTGAAAGTAAAACAATAATCGGTGGTTAAACGAGTACGTAACAAGTTCTTTTGCTCGGACGGATGAGAAAAACATTTTCTAACTACATATGTACAGGAGAAAGCCGAATTTCTCGGGCCACGTAGGAGAACAGTAATTCATTTGAAAAATCGGGAAATTTGAAAATGGCAGGTTAAATTTCTCTTAAAGTTTTTTTTTTTTTTTTTCAAAGATAGCTAGTGAACCTTGGTATTTGGCTAGTTTTGACTCATTGATTGCAATATTCAAGGTAATATTGGTTTTCAAAAACAGCCGAATATTTGGGTGCCGAAAGCGCTATGAATGAGCCATAAGTTCGTTTTAAAAAAAAAATTGGAGCTTTTAAGCCCACGTCGCACAAAAAGCAAGCCATACATCGGGCTCAAATTCCTTGGGACAGTTTTATCCCTCTACGCCCTCTCCAAATTCATAACTGAAATTTTTGTAGCTGGCTCAGAAACTGTATCGCTTATGTATATGTCAAATATTGTAAACAACGATTCCTCTATAGGCGAATCAGGGACTAGTGGCGAACTCGTACGATAAAATAATCAGAAAAGGAATTTAAGCGAACTTACTTCACAGTTTGCTCCAGTCTGACATCTTGATCTTCTGTCCTGTTATTTTCCTTCCTCTCCTTAGGAAGCACTTTCCACAAGATAGCGGGCAGTGAAGTTCCATGAAAGCTTTATTTTCAGTTTTCTCTGAATTGCAGAATCTTCTAAACCGACGGCACAGATGCAGATGATCTTTACATTCTATAGCAGAGGAAGGAACAAAATAAATTCCAGGTAAGCTAGGGCCGGATAAACGCTTGGCCATCATTTTTGGATATTATTTATGACGCGTGAAAAGGCCAAATATTTTTACGCGACTGAGTTTTACAAAGGGGTATAGGGGACCGTCTATATAATCGCCTCTCGTGTGCAATAGTAATATAAGTATTTACATAGCGCCAAATCCACTAATATGTCCATGGCGGTTTACATTTAAGGTTATTAAAAAAGTAAAAAAAAAGGGGGGGGGGGGGAGGAAAGGCAAATAATGTAAAATAATGAACAATCGAACTCAAAACTTCCACTTTTTTAAGGGATACCCGANGCCAAGCTATTTGACTCGGGTGGATTATATTAAAAGACGGAAATCTTAAGTGGCGATAAAGATTGCAATCATGCTTAAACTGCATCCAATAAATTCTTAGATAATTCTCTACGGGTAGCGAAGCCGGGGGTGCTGTGATACTGGTTCAACCACAAATCCCATAGACTCAGTTAAACTACCGTGAAAAGTGATTTTTCATAAATTTACGCATCGATAACTCATCTCTTTTGGATGTTTTTCATGCGTCACACGCTTAGTTTTACTCTCTTCACGTGTTACGCATTAAGCCTTTACCGTCCTCTCAAACGATGAAATCTCATTTTAAAACAAATAGTGATGAAACGAGCTTCAGGTATTTTTCATGAGGTCCTTATTCGACTTCCTGAGTGGCATATGGTGTAAAACATTGCGAATTAAACGTTTCCTTCAAAGACAATGGAGTACCTTGCGGTCTGATTTGTTTCATGTTTAAAACTGCCAAAATGCTTGTAAACATCTACCATCGAAAAAGGCAACGAAATTGGAAAATAGTGAAACTTTCGTTTCTTTTTGACCAGGCAGAAGATTTTCGCTATTAACTTGCAGGCCTCGACAGAATTCTTGCTTTTTACTCTGAAATCCGATGTCGTCGTGACTCAAACTCCAAGTGTTTTCGAACCACGTTCCAGACAAAAAATGAATTTTTGAGGACAAATCGATAAATGTGGCGTTGCAGGCAAAGGTTAAACAAATGCGTACTTTAATTTGGTCTTACATTTTCACTGCCGTTTGCGTCAAGTCGAAAAAACGCTGCCACGAACAAGACAAAGTAGAAACAAATGTACTTTGTTTTTTTAATCGACGAAATTCTAAACTCGAAAAGTGTCCTAGAAAACGACGTCTCGAGCTTAAAACGTTGTAGGAAATTTTGGCTTGTGTTGCGTTCAAAATTGTTAAGAACGCATCAAGAAAGCTTCAGATCAGTAGAATTTATGGATCGACTGTGGTGCAATACCTTTTCTCCTGATCGTGCCAGAACTGTACCTCGTCCTCGCTCCAGGCCTTCTGTAAGTTCTGCGTGAATATGAACGTTGTCCGATAACTTCACAGAGTAACAAAACTGCGACCAAAAGGTGCAGGACGGATATCTTCATATGACTTGCCATGTCGAAATCTGCTAGCTCTCTGTTCCTCTGTTGCTTACTCGTCTGCCGAAAAACACAAATCATTAGTGGCTTTATAGTCTGAGTAGGGGGCGTGGGGAATGATTGGATTGAGGTCGTGTCACAAAGCCACGCGCAGGGTGTCCTGTAACGGAATGATTGCCTTGACAGAAGCACGTCGCGTACTCGACTATTACATGCCAGACATCGACAGGAAAATAATATGCCTAGGTCAGTCGTTTCACTTATTTCTGTTGACGTTACCAAAGAGCGATTGTGGTTGATTTGTAGAACTTTCCAGACGTTGGCTAGAGTTTGTTTAACCCTATTTTTATACACCTCCAGTGTGTACTTTAACGTCTTCCGTCTTAGATCACTATCACAAGATGTTTTCCTCTCTTTGTTCTCCGACGTGCTCACAGGAATGTAGAAATCGTCAGTTATTTATCCTTTGCCAAATTTTTAGCACAGTTGGAGTTCCGGCTGCTATTCGTGAAGTTCAGCGCTCTGGATAATATCTCTGACAAGTCCTTCAAAACAATCAATGAATCGGGCGTGGAAACGAAAAATCGTACGGGATCGAGAGCGCTTGTCCTGCTGTTTTTATTTGTTTGATTATCCTGTGTTTTCGTTTCTGGTGCTTTTATCTGATCTGGTTAATGTTGAAATGAAAATGCCAAACATTCCTGACGCGATTTCGAAGTACAGTTTCCAATAAACATTCAGTGCCCATCGTACACGTGCAAAGTACCGTGTGATTGCACAATTAAAACTGTCGTTAGTCTTCATTTTCTTGCATCGATCTTTTAACGACTTGCGGCGACCTTTCTTATTTCCGGCCATCATTTTCACCCCTCTTTTGTCTGGGTAAAAGGATCACCTTTAAACTCAAAAGTCTGGTCTTGGGGTTTATCTTTACTAAAAGATGGTAAAACGAATGATTAATTAGAAGCTTTCCTGAATTTCTTGACGTAAATCACCTATGACCGGACACGTATTAGCTTTAAAGTTTCTCTAGCGAAACGAATCCCACACGGCTGCCAGCGCTAATTAATTTAAGTTAGTTTTTTGAGGGGCCAAGCCGCTAAGTTAAAATGCAAATGTGAAAAGGGTTGTAGTCAATGGTTTTTTTAAAAAAATTCTTTCTTGGGAAATCCACGGGTATAGCCATCCAGGATGTTCATTTTACTTCCCATTCGTCGTCCACGTACCCCTACAAGAACACCTTTGGGTCTGCGGTGCAGCCCAATTACCGTGTCGCAAAACCTTCGAACTCAAGAAAAGCTGTATGTACCTAACTAAGGAACAATGAACCACAGAGCGCCACCACGAATGGTTAAGATTCGAGGAGATCGAGATTGTTTACAACAACCTGGACAAATTTCAAAACTTGGGGCTAAATTTGTTCCCATGCGTCAACGCTGACGTAAACGTTTTCAGTTACTACCCAGGTCTATCCAGCGTGGTTTATCTTCGAACCACTAATCGCTACTAATCGAATGAAAATAACCCAGATAACATCTGAAATTAGAGTTCCGTTTATCTACGTGAAGTTTTTATCCGGCCAGGCATAAGAATTCAGGGTCGTCTTCCGTGTAAACAAACATGATAATATTTAAAATCCGATGGAGAATGTATGTACGTGTACACTTCCGAGATCACCAAACTAAGAAACACGCGATGGTTACGTTGATTTTCTGAAAAGAAATAGCGTCATTTTATGCTGACAAAAAATCAAATTGTCAATGAATTATTTGACGTGCGAGTTTTTCAGACAAACACTGCATCCGGGCCTGAGGGGAGATTTTATTGTGAAAAGAAATTTCGTGTAAATTACTCCGCCACCCCTCTAACTCCCCCGAATTTAAACATACAATATGTAAAGTAATGGGTTTTAATCTATTTATGTAGTCCTCGATAGTTGAACTGGTCTCTTGATTGAATCCCAAAATTAACGTTTAGTTTTTAACAGGATTTCCGTACACGAATAATAGCCCTCCCAACTCCCAAATTAGAGCAGTACACCCAAAAATAGGCAACAACCCCTACCGACTCCGTCGCACTGAACCAAGATGGCATGCATTTATTTGCCCGAGATTTGTTAATTGGTTGGTACGGTTT